AAGCAAAGTCCGCTATTGTGGTACTCTGCGATTGAAACGTAGCTGAAGCAAGTCAACAAGGCTCTGTACTTCAGAGATGGTGGCAATGACGTGGCATTCTAGATGCTCGTCTACGTTGACGACCTTTTCATTGATGGTAGCAGCCTTGCATGTTGCTGGAGAGCGCCCTTGAGCTGCACGAGATCAACCTGGTCGAGAAGTATTTGGGGCTGGAAATTGTGCGCGACCAACTTGCGCGGAAGCTGTGGCTCCACCAGCAGTCCTACATCGACAAACTACGCACGCGCTTTACTGACAAGGAGCAGACTGATTGGCGTCTGAAGACACCTGCTTGCGTCGACGCCTATGCTGAGCTGACTCTCGATGATGAAGACTTCCAATCGTGCGAGGAAGAGGAGTACGAGCAGAAGGCCGGTTTGCTGCTACCACAACTCGGCCAAACATCGCCTTCGAGTGCAGCAAGCTTGGGTCCCGCTTGAGAGTGAAGAGCAACCAGCATTGGCGCGAGGTCGACCGTTGCCTCACCTACCTTGCCGACACGCGCGATGTCGCCCTGTAGTTTGGCGGTGGGCCGAAGATTCTGAAACCGGTCGGCTACGCAGACTCCAACGACGCCGGCGACAAGTAGACGCATTGCAGCACAAGTGGCTACATTTCTGTCTTCGGCGGTGCATCGACCTCCTGGACGAGCCAGCGCATCAAGTGTGTGACTCTGTTCTCGATGGAGTCAGAGTACATCGTGGCCACCTAAGCCGGCAAGGAGGCTCGTTGACTTCGCTTCCTCCACTACGAGTTCCAGTTGCTCAACGCTGGGACGCCGACTATCCTCAATGCGCACAATCATTCGCCCATCGCAGTCGCTGAAGGCTTGGGGCTCAAGGCAGCCTCAAGCTCATGGAGCGACGCCACGCCTGGCTACAGAAGTTGGTGAAGCGCAGGAAAATTGCGCTGGAATACATCTCAACCACCGAGTAGTTGTCAGACTTCCTTACAAAGCTATTGCACTTTTCGGCCTTCAACTGGCGCTCCGTCGTGGTCGGCCAAGTTCACCATGCTGACGTCGTCGATGACGTCGACGTGCAGCAGTAGGCAACATATTCTCCAACATGGCAAGTGCGGCGATCAGTGTGCGGTTGTGTACACGTCGAAGAAATATCCACTTATATTCTATTATGTAGGTTCTGGGTGGACCTTGTATGTAGGTGCCTAAGCTTGAGCTGGGCATGGGAGTGTTGAAGTGAAAGGCCCCGTTCTCGTTTGGGTGCATGCGTTCTCGGCGCCGACATGGTGAATTCGACGGGGTGGTCGTCGAATGGGCCTTCACCTTTAAATGACAGTAGCTGTCGAAAAGGCCTTGCCTTGTTCGACGAGATTTCTTGGTCGACAACGGACCTTGCTGGTCAACAAGAATGGTCATCGACAAGCCCGCCTTCTGATTTGCCATCCCGTCGACGAACTCTGGTTGACGGGGTCCTTTTTTACAAGCCCACCCTCTGATTGACGGGGTGTTGTTCGACGAGCTCGTCCTCTGATTGAGGGGCGCTGTTCGGCGAGCCTGGTCTCGGCTGGTCAGCCAAATTCGCTTGACTACGAAACTCTGATGGGTGTGTGTGAAGTTTGCGTAGGAGGTTTTGGCAAAAACCGACCTGTAGAACGACATCATGTGCTCGACGGTGGACATTTGGTGAAACCGTTGACACAGTTTTCTACCTAGCACCTGTTCAATGTGCCCAACGGTCCAACCGTCGACCTGCACCTATTTTGTAGGTGTGCACATGTTCACCTGCGACTGCAGCACCGGCAGACCACTTTGGATGGAATGCTGGCAGGCCGCCCTGCTGCAGCGTTGGCAAGCCGCTCTTCTGCTGCTCTGGCAATTCACCTTGTAGAATGCATGCCAGGTGTTTCGATGCCTTCCTTGCTATATCGACCTGCATCCCTCATTGCAATCTAATGTTAAGTCTCGTTTGCTTGCCAATTTTCTCAGTGAACGCAAAAAGTAGTGAGAACGCTAGTAGAATCTTACGATCATCCGCACAACCCTGTACCCTTCTCCGTAGCCCACTCTCGTTGTAGAGTGACTCTCCGCATATAGGACCCTCTGGTAAGAGATTCCCCCGCGCCTCATGTGCGGGTAGGGGGGGGGGGGGGGGGGGGGGGGGGGGGGGGGGGGGAGGGGGGTCGTACGCTTATTTAAGACCAATCCGTGAGGACCCCCCCTTTGATATCAAACATTTTAAGACCCCCCTCTTTGGTGTAAATTGTGCAATTTTCAACGATTTTCGCATTCACGAATTAGTTTTTAGGTGGATAAAGCAAAATTGTGACTTGAATCCTGACGCATTGACCATGTCAGATCGAGCGTATGACTAGGCACTTTTGTGATTGTTCTTAATGATGCTCGATTTTGGTAGAAAAAACCTTTTGGATCGGGGAAAAATGGTCCCTTATTAGTAAAATAGATGTCAGGGGGTCTTATCGATTTCCCGCCTACAGGATGTTCACCCTTACATTCTTTAGTGAATTTTTGGAAGTCCCCTGGGTCTTATATCCGGGAATAGACGGTATACAATATATGGTACCACACCCTTGGGTACCTATCCACGGTGTACCTGAAACCGAGGGATCCAGTTGATGTGATCGCATTTTCAGAAAGATCGTGGAAAATGGATATCTCTCATATTCATGCGAGCTGATGGCAGGCAATGCAATAAAAATGGAGCAGCAGCAAGCCCACACACCCTAATTACAGTGGATGTTCTGTTAATTTGAGTTTTGTTTGCTTTGTGTTTGTGCTGACCTCTATTTCCTGGTGTTGTGTGATGCAATCATATGCATTTACGTCTGTCTGCCTCCCATCATATGTTCGTGCGTTGCATGCGTGGTGTGAGCGTGTGCAAGAATTTGTGCTTTGTGTGGTATGAATTTTCTGAGTTTGTGCAAATGTTATTTGGCTTGAGCCGATATCTAAAGTGACTCCTATGCTCAAGAGCTTTTCGACGAACCAAGTATCGCTTTAATCGGAGCACGAACAAGAAAGTTACGAACGTTGGAGTTCGCATGCTTTTCATATTTGATTGTGGCAACTATGGGAAGTTGTGGGGTTGACTCAATATGGGGTACAGACTTTTGGGGGTTGGGAAATTCGTCTTTTCTACTGTAGTTGCTGCCAAATGGTTGGGAAAAACCAAACCAGGTTGGCAAGTGTGGCCAAGTTGGGCAAGGTGGATGGCATGGGTTGGGAAAGTGACAAATGTCAAAGTTGGGTTGCTTATGGGAAAGGGAATTGTGTGGCATGGGGTTTCCTTGGTTGGGTACTCTCTTGGGACCTTCCCTCTCTTCCTCCTCATCCTATCCCACCTGGTTTAGTGCTACTCTTATGCTCTTGTGTAGTAATTGCGAACTTGTGTGAGACTATTGTGACTGAGTTAAGATTCTATGGCAGCAGACCCCCTAGTGCGCCGAAATTGGTAACTCAAGAAATACTTCACCTTTTTGTATGATTCAACTTGGGAATTGTAGCCACGGCGTAGAGCTACATCATATCTGAGTTTGGTGAAGGGAGCTACATCATATCTGAGCTACATCATACTCATGTTGCTGCTGCTGCTGCTGCTGCTGCTGCTGCTGCTGTAGCTGCGGTTCCTCTGGTATCGCCCGAGTCAAGTCAATGTGACGCTGGAGGACCCAATGTTGCTGCTGCTCCTGTTGCTGTTGCTGTTGCTGCTGCTGCTGCTTCTCATGTTGCTGCTGCTGCTCCTGCAGTTGTTTTTTCATTGTCTTCTGCTGCCTCTGCCGCTCCTGCTCCTCCTGCTGCTGCTCCTGCTGCTTCTCCTGTTGTCTCTGCAGCTGCTCATGCAAGATCTGCTGCTCCCAAAGCATCTGCAGCTCCACCAACTCTTTCTGACTCAGATCCTCCTCCTCCAGTTTCTCTTTCTGTCGATGTTGCTCCTCCTCCTCTTCCTGCTGCGACTGCTGTTGCCTTTGCTCAAGCTGCTGTTGCCTCTGCTCCTCTGCTTGGTTCTCCTGTTGCAACACGATCACTGCCTCATGCACTTCTATCCCTCCGCCTCCCTCTCTCCACCGCCCTCCACTCTCTCCTACCCCCTCAACCCACACCCTCTCTTCACTTCTGTCAGGATCACCTCCTGCTGCAATGGGCCTGACCCCCAACCTCCTCACAATGTAACCCTCTTCAAGACGGTGATCCAGCCCCCGTCCGCCGAAACCCACTCCTTGTCCTCCTGTCGCCAACTGTTGCTGTCGCTGCCACTGCTGTTGCTGTGGCTGGTGCTGCTGCTGCGGCTTCTGTGGATGTTGTGGTGGTTGTTCTCGTTCTTGTTGCTGCTTCTCCTGATGCTGCTGCTGCTGTTGCTGCAGATGATGTGACTGCTGCAGCTGCTGCCCCCTCTGTATCTGATCCCTCTGCAGCCCAGCTAACAGCTCGTGCTGCTGTTGCAGTTCTTGATGAACTGGCTGCTGTTGCTTTTCAAAATCATGTAGTTTCTGAGCATCTTCCATCTGCTGCTGCTGATGCTGCTGCTGGGCCAGTGTAAATCCCTCCTCCATTCTCCCTCTGGTCTGGACCAGTTCATGCTGCTGCTCTACCACTTGCTCAATGTGATGCTGAAGGATCCACTGCTCCTGCTCCTGCTGATGCTGCTCCTGCTGATGCTGCTCCTGCTGATGCTGCTCCTTCTCCTGTTGCTGCTGCTGATCCTGATGTTGTTGTAGCCTCATCTTCTGCTGCGGATGCCGACCCTGCTCCTTCTGCTGCTGCGTCTGCTGCTTCTCCTGCTGCCTCTGCAGCTGATCATGCAGGATCTGCTGCTCCCAAAGCATCTGCATCTCCACCAACTCTTTCTGTCTCAGCTCTTCCTCCTCCTGATTCTCCTCCTGTCTATGTTGCTCCTCCTCCACTTCCTGCTGCCTCTGCGGTTGCCTCTGCTCATTCTGCTGTTGCCTCTGCTCCTGCGCTTGCTTCTCCTGTTGCAACACGATCACTGTCTCATTCCCTTCTGTCCCTTTGCCTCCCTCTCCCCACCGTCCCCCACTCTCTCCTGCCCCCTGCTCACCCTGCGCTCTCTCTTCGCTTCTGTTGGGATCCCCTGCTGCAATTGGCCTGAACCCCAACCTTCCAACAATGTAACCCTCTTCCAGACGGTGATCCAGCTCACCTCCGCCGAAACCTGCTCCTTGGCCTCCTGTTGCCAATGGTTGCTGCCGCTGCCACTGCTGTTGCTGTGGCTGGTGCTGCTTCTGCGACTTCTGTGGCTGCTGTAGTGGTTGTTTTTGTTCGTGTTCTTGCTGTTGCTGCTGCTGCTGCAGATCTCGCCCCTGCTGTTTCTGCCACTGCTGCAGCAGCCTGTGCTGCCAAACCAGCTCCCGCTCATTCTGGTCCAGTTGTAACAGCGACTCGGGCGCTTCAGAGTTTCTCACTTGAGCGTTAATCCCTTGAGTGCTACCAAGACTCCAAATGTGTAGGTAGGGAGCCCCCACTACTGTGGTGCCCATGGGAAAATTTCCAGCTCCAGCCGTCCGTGCATCAGCTTGGCTTCCCTCAGCGTCGATGGCATGTGCATGCCCCTTGAGAGTGGTTGCACGTGCTGCTTGCCCAATGAGTGTGGTGCTGCGTGCCGCGTGCTTCTGTTGTGCCGCAGCCTGCTGGTGTGCTGCAGCCTGCTGGTGTGCTGCAGCCTGCTGGTGTGCTGCAGCCTGCTGTTTTGCTGCAGCCTGCTGGTGTGCTGCAGCCTGCTGTTGTGCTGCAGCCTGCTGGTGTGCTGCAGCCTGCTGTTGTGCTGCAGCCTGCTGGTGTGCTGCAGCCTGCTGTTGTGCTGCAGCCTGATGTTGCACTTGAGATAAAATTGCTGCGAGGGAGGGATCTTGAAGAGATGGCCCACGTCCCTGCATTGCACACTGCGCTGCACCAGCCGATGCCATGCTGGATACTACAGTAGACGCAGCTGCGATTCCTGGGGTGAATTCCCCAGCATCTGTTGCAGTAAGAGCAACCAATGTGCTACTCAAAGGAGGAGCAACGGGCCGTGCACCAAGGGCAAGAGGGGCAACGGGGTGTTTGGCAAGAGGAAGAGGGTAAGTTGGCGTGTGAGGGGCAAGAGGGGTAGCAGCGAGGGGCGTGACCTGTGCCAGGGGACACACTGGAGTGCTGATGCCTGGCTGGGAAATGGGAGCTCCATGGGAAAGAGCCAAGAGCAGCTGTGTCTCTCCAGCTCCCAACTGAGCACTGCAGGCACGGTCGTGGAGAGGTGCAGGGCGAGGGAGGGGATAGGAGTAGGCGTGAGGGGGGAATACATCATTTGAGGAGCGCAAGGTGAAGAAAGGGATAGAGTCGTTTTATTAATCAGGCACTTGCAGCTGCGGCTGCGCCTCTCCGTCTACCAGACTGGCACAACAGGGAAGAGGAGGGGATGGGAGGGGAGATACGGAGGGGGAGGGGAAGGGAGGGGAGGAGAGATCAGCAGCGTGGGGAAAGGGGAGGGGAAGGTACATCATGTGAGGGCACGGGAGGAGAGGGGAAGGGAGGGGAGGGGAGGGAGAGGAGGGGAGGGGAGGGGAGGGCAGAGTAGGGAATTCGAGGATGGGGAGGGTAGAGTAGGGCATTCGAGGATGGGGAGGGTAGAGTAGGGAATTCGAGGATGGGGAGGGGGGATATGTGACCTGGGATGGATGGGAGAGCGGAGAAATGAGTGTGACTTCCAAAAGAGACAATCCTAGCAGCCATACTCCTCCCTGAAGGTTAGCTCTTGATAGGAGGAGGAGGAGGAGGAGGAGGAGGAGGAGGAGGAGGAGGAGGAGGAGGAGGAGGAGGAGGAGGAGGAGTGGGGGGGGGGGGGGGGGGGGGGGGGGAAGCAGGGTGGAGCATGGCAATCTTGCAGCCTGGAACAGACATGATGTCTCACATTGCACATTACAGGGTCACATTTGATCGACTCAAGGTGACATATGGGTTGACTCAAGGTGAATTTTGATGAGCCTTAAAAGTAACATGGAGCGGTTGTTGTGATGTCTCACCTCGCATCTCTCGTGAGTATGGTTCCTTGACTCTGTAGGATCTTCTCCGCCTCTCGTTCTGCTTGATCATACGGGAAGAGAACAAACATGAGCACAAACAGAAGCAATCAGATTGACAAACACAAAGATCCACAAAAAAAACGGATCCACAAACCAACAGATCCACAAACACATATCCACAAACACACATATCCACAAACACACAGATCCACAAACACTCAGATCCGCAAACACTCAGATCCACAAACACTCAGATCCAGAAACACACATATCCACAAATTCACAGAACAACAATCAAACAGATTCACAAACACACAGTTCAACACGGAAACAAACAAACAAATCATCAAAACATCCACAGACAGATCAACATCAAGAACCGGTATTGCAACTATTCCTCGTAATCCAGAAACAGTATCGAAACAACCCCCACCACGCCATCCCCCCACCACCCCCCCCCCCCCCCATCCCCTCCACCCACTTCCCCCCCACCACCCTCGGCGGTGAGTGTTTGCAAGAAACCCAAGCGCATGCGTGTGCGCAAACCTCTTGCCCCAGGTGAATTTTGAGTCACCCTCTCCCATTTGTTTCCCTACTCCCCCACCTTCCTTTTTTCCACCAACCCTCCCTCCCTCAACCAACCTCGCCGGTGTGTGTTCATGTGTCCCCCAAGAGACTGTGACTGCGCAAATCCCTTGCCGCAGAACCGGCACTCATACAGCAGCCCGCCGCCCGATCCTCCTGCCAGCGGCTGAGCCGGCATGCAGAACCCAGGAGCTGTGCGGCGGAAACCAGCAGCAGCGGAAGGCATGCCATGCATGCCAGTGCCAATGGGAATCAGAGTAGCGTTGCTTGGGTCACTTGAGTCTCTCTGGTTCATGGAACGTCGCAGCATGGTCATGTCCTGCCCCACCATGCCGCCTCCTCTCATCCCCTGAACTCCACCCATTCCCTCATTCATCCCCCCACTCATCCCTCCGCCCATACCTCCTCCTACGCCTCCTCCCAACCCTCCTTCCATCCTTTCACCCATTCCTCTACCCAGCACTCCTGCGCCCATGCCCCAAAGCTGCCTTCTTTCCATGACCCCTACCGGCGTTCCTCCCTCCATCCGCCCTCCCGCCCCCTCTTGTCCGGTGGTCACTGGGTTCTCTTCTAAACCCACAGCATGCAACTTGGTGTTACCTGCTGGTATGGCAGCAGCCTCAGGCTCCGAAGCAGCCGCTGCAGCAGCAGCTATGGCAGAAGTGTTCTGATGTAGCAGGTGGGACAATTGAGAGTGAATGTCACTGCTATCTCTGAGAGCTTCTAGATTAGTAGCATTAGATCCTCCGATAAGTCCTCCTGCTGCTCCTGCTGCTGTGCATCTGCTGCCGCCGCCAAAGCTCCTTTGAAAGGCGGCAGCATGCTCAGCCACGCCACCACTTACGTGGTGACCCAAGTGGCCAGCGGCAGCGGCTTTTACCTCATCTTCGCTTGGTAGAATCCGCCGCTGCTTGCACCCGCGCTGTTCGCGGCCGCGTCCGCTTTCCGCCGTCGTCAAATCTAACCGCGCCAGCCTGAGCCCCGCCTGAGACTGCCGACTCTGCGCGCAGAGTATTGTGTTTCCGGAGATTGGTCGGGAGCCTTGGCCCTGAGAAGAGGAGAAACGGGCTACGGCGCTCCATGGCGGCAAAGGCGCCGGCAGCGCCGTACGTGGCGGATCTGGGGTGCGGAAGCTCCCTTGCGCCGGAAGAAACGGCGTGGGGTCGCTCAGTGATGCGAGGACCTGCCTTAACGCGAAACGAGGATCACTCTCCGACAAGTCGTCCATTGCCAATGACAGTGACAAACCCACCTTTTTTCCTTGACGAGTGGGGTTGGTTGTGAAATCTCTCTACAAATCGAGCTCCAATCAGCGCAGCAGCGTTAGCCTACAAGCACCCATAAAACGTTGATTTTCGTTGATTAGTAATGATTTTAAGCCCATCTAAAGACCCGTTGTTTTGTAACAATTAGCAGCTTAGCTGCCTATCACCGCGCATCCAGAACTGGTGCTGCCGAGAATGCTGTTCGTACTGTAGGACAGAGTGGCGGTCGCCCATTGCGGTGGAAGTCCGAATCACGTGATTTCTCGATTCCACTCGCGGAAGTTCCAATCACGATGGACAACTGGGCGAGGCTGGCAGACTTGGGTTGGAGAGTACGAAATGTCAGATGGGCTGAAATGATGCAATCCATGTGCGCTGGTGGGTGTTGAAACCTAGCGGCGGAGGGACAGAGGTTCCCCTTGTCCGAACATTGACACCAAAGCATGCAACCCTTTGTTGTCCAAACATTGAGACAACCATGCAACCCTTTGTTATCAGCTCTATCGACTCGACTTCATCGTTGCCAGACTTCATCGAAAGGCCAAGGGGGGAGAAAAGGAGAAGAAACCTGGCGGTGTGAGCTCCGAAGACAAGGGTTCGATTAGCACGCACTGATATTTTACTCCCCACGCAGCTACAGAGCTTCTGCCGCACTGTTACTACCCAAAATACGCTCACAGTGCAGAGTTAGAATTGAAGGGCCAAATCAGTTTTGGGGGGCAGTTTTGACGGCTCGGTGGCCGTCAAACTATGATGACAGCTCAGTTTTAACAGCACATGCGCTTTCAACGGATTATGCTTTCATTGGTCATAGAATTGACGGGCCGATGACTCTGCTTTGTTTGACGGCCACCGAGCCGTCAACCGCTAGCATTTCGGGCATAAAATAACACCTGGCATGATTTTCGAGGGGGTCATCAAACCTGAACACCGGGGGGCAGGTGACTAGGACGTGATCCAGATCGAAACAATCTGAGGTTGATTGCCTTGATCTCGCAATCCTTAAATTCCGAGAGGTTCCAGGGGGTACTTTTGGGCAATCGGGGCAATATGTCGATCGCGATCGAGATTGCAATCGATCGTGATCGATTGCCTCGATCTGATGCTATCGTTTAAAACCGACTGCGATCAACCGATTCGGTATGCTGGCGAAACTAGGCGAGTTGAATCTACAGTCGTTGAGGTTCGCTTCTGCTCGCTCATACAGAACATCTCCTGACATTCGAACTAGTAATGGGGCTACCCTGTAATTACACGAGACAAATGGTCGCTTTATTTCGCCAACTTTTAGGTGGAAGGAACATACAGCTCGCCTGGAAGGCGCGGCAGAGGCTCCGTTTTGTTTCATAGAAAAACATGCGTCAGATTGCGCGGCGCGGGATGCGATCGATGATTACGTCAGATCGGGGCAATCACACCAAATCGATTCCGATCAGATCCAATCGATTGCCGATTGCGTGAGATTGGAGCGATCTGCACCACGTCCTTTGGGTTGATGCCCTTCTCAATGGCATGTCTTGATTGAGTATCAACCCTGAACAACATTCTGAAGGCGTTTCGGGTTGATACCCTTCTTAAAGAGGAACACATATTATTTTAGCACTAAAAGCAACTGTTTTCTGGACAGCATTCACAGGTTCGGTTTGTAGTTATGTACCATGTTTGGACCATTGAAATCAAAACTGCGTTCAAAGCACATGTTTCTGCGCTATGAGCGAACCCTGGGCAGTAATAGTGTGCCAGAAGCGCTGTAGCTACGCTGGGAGCGAAGTTCAGTAACAGTGCGTGCTCGAAACCCAAAATACAACCTGATTCAAGCAGAGTAGCACCATATATTACCCTGGAAAACAGGCTAAACACGGAGGAATACTCTGCAGCCCTGAGTCCCGCCACTGACTGAGGAGAACTGAGGCTAATTTCCTCGATCTCTGGCATCCACACTTTCATGGAAGGCAAGTGGAGCTTTCTTGGACGATCGGGTACAGTTGCTCTACAAGCGATGCTCAGCCTATCACAGAACATTTGGCTTAATAATAGATATTTAGTCACTCGTGAGTAACTAAATCGACCATTGCGCCGATTTCGAGGTACAGTCACCAAGTTGAAGAAGAAAAACATCTACAGTTCATAAACAACAACAGTCGCCCGTCATCTGAAAAGTTTACCTGGTTATGAAATATAAAAACTTAACTAGATTTCATAATACACTCACATTTTTGCCTTGGCGACAAGGGCGAAAATGGCGAAACGACTAAAACACTTTTCACGCACATGCCGCCTGCCTACCTTGCGTTCGTTCTTTTTCCTGCCCTGAGATCAAGTCGCCCCTGACCGAGGTGCGCCCTGTGTGCCGCCCTCCCCTTAGCGACCCGTCGCGCCGCCCTTAGCGGCCCCCCCTCTCACGGCCCCTCGTGACCCCGTCGCCGCCCCCTAGCGACCCGTCGCACCGCCCTGAGCGGCCCATCGCGCCGCCCTCAGCGGCCCCTTGCGGCCCCACCTCAACGGCCCCGTCGCCGCCCTCTCGCGGCCCCGTCGCCGCCGTTCGCGGCCCCTCCGCCGCCCTTAGCGCCCGCGTCACTATCCATCGCGGCCCTGCAGCCGCTCCTCGCCGCCTCGTCGCCACCCTCTCGCGGCTCCAGTGCCGCCCTCTTGCGGCCGTGTCGCCGCCCTTTCGCAGCCCCAGTGCCGCCCTCTTACGGCCTCGTCGCCGCCCTTAGCGGCCCCGTCGCCGCCCCTTGCGGCCGCGTCGCCACCCCTTGCGGCCCCTCCCCGGCCCTTTCAGCGACAAGCCGCCGAGCCGCCAAGCAGCCGAACCGCAAAGCCGCCGAGTCGCCGAGCCGCCAAACCGCCGAGCCGCCGAGCCGCCAAGCAGCAAAGCCGCCGAGCCGTCGAGTCGCCGAGGCCGCCGTCGAGCCGCCACTACCGAGCCGCTGCCGGCGAGCCGCCGTCGAGCCGCTACTGCCACTGCCGAGCCGCTGCCACCGCGATTGCAGCCCTGTTCCTACCGGCGTGCCCTGGCCCTACCCACCCGGACTGGTAAGAGCACTCCCTGCTAGACCACTGCTGTCTTGGCTACCCTTAGTGTCCTTACCTTTGATGCTGAGGGACGTGCTGTTGACTTCGTGGTCTGGGTCGATGACCTAAAGGTTTTCCTACAGTGCGATAAGGCAGACGGACTCTCCCTCTTCGATCTCACCTCTAGTGCCTCTCCTGCCCCGCCTGCTGGTGCTAACAGCACTATTCGCTCACAGTGGGCCACACGCGATGCTGCTGGGCGTCTTGCTGTGCGTCGCCACTTACCGACCGCTGAGCGTGCGCAATTTAGTCAGTACAAGAGTGCTAAGACCTTGTACGACGCTGTAGTTGCACGCTACTCTTCCCCTGCCACTACTGCTCTTAGCCGCCTCATACTGCCGTACCTGTTCCCTGACCTTGCTGCCTTTCGCACAGTCAGTGACCTAATTACGCACCTTCGCACTAGTGACACTCGCTACCGCGCTGCGCTTCCTGCTGAGTTCTGTGCCAAGAACCCTCCCCCCATGTACATCACCCTCTACTACATAGTCACCCGGCTCCGTGACTCCCTTCGCTTAGTGAGGGACCACTTCCTCTCAGTTTGCCCCACCACACTCAACGTTGACCTCCTCGAGGAGTGCCTCCTAGCAACAGAGAAGAGCATAGTCGCTGTAGGAGCCTCTCGTGGTGGACCTCGTACCCCTATCTTTGAGGGGTGTTCCCCCTCCCCCCTCTTGCCCTCTGTTGCTTCTGCTGCTGCGGCCGACCTCGTTGGCTTCGAGTCGCTCGGAGCTGCGTCTACCCGTAGCAGGAGACGCCGCACTGGCAATGGTTTAGGGTTTAGGGCAAGGGCGCTGGAGGGACTGGCGGGGGCACTGGAGGTGGCGGAGGAGGAGGCGGAGGGAGTGGGGGTGGTGGTGGGAGTGGTGGTGGGGGTGGGGGCTTCGGTGGCGGCGGTGGCGGCGGAGGCGGCGGCGGCGGTGGCGGTGGGAGCGGAGGAGGAGGCGGTGGCGGCGGTGGCGGAGGTGGCAGCGGAGGAGGCAGATCTAGTCGGGGTGGCTCTGCGCAGCGCGGCGGCTTCGGTGGTGGTCAGCGCCAGCAACAGCAGCGCATTCGTGAGACCCCGCCCCCCCAGCAGCTTCGTGAATTGTACGCTTCGCGTCAGCGGGGTGGGGGTACCAGTCCTTGTACCTACGTCCTGCGTACCGGCGAGCGTACA